ACAATGATAATGAGTAGGGACCTATCTACTTTGAAAATGACACGACAAAAATAAACAGGAAATTGTTCGTGACTAACTCACTACGAAAGTGGAGGTAAATCTTTCTTTCATACACCTCATAACGTAAAATGCAGTGAGACAAAACATCGAATTTATGCCCTAAATATGTAAAACTGCGACCATGGATGCGGTATTGGCAAGATAATAATAAGAAGGCTATGACGAAGGGAAATGCTAAGCGGCTGTTGACTGGTGGCACTCCACTCATTTCCGCCCAATTTGTAATATTATTGTGAAGGCTTCCACCAAATCGACCTGATTTTTATTGGTTCTCTACTGAATCTGGAACGAATTTATATTTATTAGAGTGTTAGGATTTGCTGTATTATAAATAAAAAATTGATGTAACCTAAATTACAGTTACTTTTACGACAGGCTTCATAAAGTTTTTCAAAAGAAATTATGGAGCTGAAAACATATGAAATTGAAAATAAAAGATTAACTTGAAAGAGGTATATTTTGAGGGGAGACAAGTTTTTGAGAAACAGTTTTTTAGGTTTCACTTCTCCATTTTTAAACAAAATTTGTAGAAAGATTTCCAAAGAAAGCAATAAAGTTTAAAATAAACTTGTCACAAAGATGTGTAGCTCATGCAAAGAAGTTAAATTGAGAAATAAGCTGAAAGAAAACGGTTTGTAGTTCTGGTATCTGTAGAGTAGGGAGGGTGAGTGTAGACTCACAGCACTTAAGTCTCATGTGACCCATTGTACATCCTCCCGAGGAGTTGTCCTCCTAGGTCATCGTCCATCCTGTCCTTTTCAGGAACGTGGATAGGTCACTGGCAGGCATCTCCTTCATATCGGCAGGTGTAGGCCAAGACTCGCCGAACACATACTCTCTTATTGACGATAACTCCAGGCACTCGCACAGGACATCCCTGACAGTCTCATCTTCCTGTTCACACATCCTGCTTAGAGGTGTGTCCACTAGCCCCGTATTATGGAGGTGTTTCCTTAGTTGACAGTGGCCAGTCAGAAATCCTACTATTAGGCGTAAATTTTTCCTGGTGAGTGTAAGCCCACAGCACTTAGGCCACATGTGACCCATTGTACATCCTCCCGAGGAGTTGTCCTGCTAAGTCATCGTCCATCCTGTCCTTTCCAGAAAGGTAAACAGGTCACTAGGAGACATATCCTTAATATTGGTAGGTGTAGGCCAAGACTCGCCGAACGCACACTCTCTTTGTGGCCTCCGCGAAGATTTTGGAAGGTGCAGCGATATTACTGTCGTTGTGCGGCTTCTTCAACCTTCTTGGGGTTCCCTCCGTGGAGGTGCACAAGTGAGGGAGGTTTTCTGCAAGGGCAGCCGGTTCCTTGCCTTTATTCAAGGCGTAGCTCTTGGCGCCCGCTATGTCCAGCCTCATTCCAAGCGGTAGATTGGGGTGGACATTTCTGTTCATCCCCAGCCACCGCCTTAGATTGAGGTAAGCACTTCTGTCCAGCCTCGGGATTGGTTTTTGTTGTTTCCATTCACTCATTCATGTGTTCTCACGAGTAGCCTCTGGCAGAGCTCCGCATTACCAGAGGTAGGCTGATTACAATGTGGTTTCGCCCAGTTCTCCAAGGGGATCATTCGTGACCGCATATCACCCTTCGGCCCTTCAGCTGTCGCCACGATTCCTTACACCTTAGCTTGGGTAGGCTGGTCCACGGCGGCATGTTTTGCAAAGGCTTTTGGGGAGTTCTAGTTCCCCTCACCCTACTTATTTTTGTCAGGAGTCCGGCGACCTCGTCCGTAAGGCCACATTGGCTTCCCGGACAGTGCCTCCAGTTCCCTGGCCGTTCCCCTATCCGCCACCTGGCGACACGCCGGATAGGTAGCCCAACCCACGGGACGGTCTGCAGTTTGCTTGTGAAAGTAAGTGAAAAGTTTATTTTGAACTTGATTGTTTTTTTCTTTTCTTGGATGTTTCCTAAAAATTTACCCCTTTCAATTTGAACAAGAATCCTATGACTGGCATTAAATCAAATAAGCGTATAAATGTCTTTGAATACTGTCATCGTGACATGGGTAGAGTTTTTCTTATCTGTGACATAAAGTCGTAATGTTATGCATGCTCCGTTTTGTAATATTATTCAGATAGATGCTGACGAGAAAATGAGACAAGTGTCTTATTCCGAAACTTCCAGTCCGTCATTGAGGATGGTAGTGTTCCATGTGTGTGAAATTTCACGTCGTAACTTTTCCAATATACTGTGTAGCGTTCCGATAAATGATGTCTGATTCAATTCCATAGTGAATGTTTGGTATATACACTGAATAGAAGTGACCCAAACTTCTTCATTTTGCCACCACAACACGCGCTCTCGACCTTGAGGAATAACCTTGTTCTCACCCGTTTGACCAAAGTGATTTTTTTGTGCAAAAGTTCAATTCTATTTCCATGAGTTATGAGACAAGTGAGAATTACCGCAGGATTATACTAGCAGCAGAAATATTTGACACCAAAACAAAAATGCTATCTTTCGACGCGTATCTCTCGTCGCGCAAGTCAGCATTGCCAGAGGATGACAGTTTCAGTCATCTCCTGATGACAGATATTTGAAATAATATATATGCGCTGAATCTACAGCTCATTGGGAATTATGTTGAAATGTAGGAATACTCCAACCGAATAGAGGATATCACTTTCGGAATTGTTTGTTTGAGAACCAGCAAATTGATAGTTATCATATATAATAATAGTAATAATAATAATATCGTCTTTATTATCTTCAAATACATTTTTCGAGCAAATTAATCAGGTATGGTACAATTGATTGTTATATGAAGACAAAAAGCGAAGTTCAATTTGCATGATGAAAAGTCATCATTCAATTGCACTTAACCATAATCAAAGACTTGAGAATATTATTTTAATTCCTTCTACCAATATCAATAATCAAACATTTCAATATATTTCCACGTATAATTTTGTGAATACATTGATTGTTAATTGTTCCTATCATTTTCCAGTGGCATCAGAAATCAAAGAAAAAATGGGTTGAATACTTCATTTTCACCCACGTACAATACATTACAAATACGGTTTTTTTCGAGAAAGAATTGCTTCACAATATCTTATATGAAATAGATAAAATTTCACTTACACTGAACACTGTCAACCTCAATGGTGGACATCGATGTTTCGGAATAAGACATTAATCTTATTGCTCCTTCAGCATTGAGGATGACAGTGTTCTATGTAAGTGAAATTTTACCTCTTTTATATACGATACTAATACTATGTTGCTGTTCTGCTGTTCTACTGTTCCAATATTTTGACAGAATCAGAATCAACGAACTTAGGCGTGCGCAGCGTTATAAAACAGTGCTTTCAAAAAACTGTTCTACAGCGCTATCTACTGCCGAGTTACAGAAAAATTGATAGCCTAAAAACCTTCTCTATGAAAAATTACTTAGAAGTTTATCACTTACCAACCAATCAACCAACCAACCAACAAAGATCCATTTTTATATATTAGAT